CCAATAAGAAACAAGACTGGTTTAAAACTCAGGAGCTGGGGGCCCGGGTAAATCTTAACCTCATATGTGTTGGCATCCCCCATGGGCACCAGTTCGTGTCCTGGCTGCTTCACTTCCCATAAAGCTTCTTGTTTCCTGAAAGCAGTCAAGGATAGCCAAAAGCCTTGGGACCTTGCACCCATGTGGGATACCTGGAAGAGGCTCCTGGCTTCGGATTGGCTCAGTACTGGCTGTTGTGGCATGAACCAGCAAACAGAAGATCTTTCTCTCTATATCTCCTTCTCTCTGTAAATCTGCCTTTCCATTAAAAAAAAAAAAACAAAACCAAAACCAACCAACCAAACAAACAAAAAACTCAGAAGCTGGGGCCAATGTAGTGGTGTTGTCGAATAAGCTTCCATCTGTGGTGCCAGTATCTCATATAGATGTCAGTTCATGTCCTGGCTGTTCCACTTCCAGTCCAGCTCCCTGCTAACAGCCTGGGAAAGCAGAGGATAGCCTAAGTCCTTGTACCCCTACACCCATGTGGAAAACCCAGAAAGAAGTTCCTGGAAGCTCCCAGCTCTGGCTGTAGTAGCCATTTGGGAAGTGAACAAAACCAGTGGCTGAAAGATTGTCTTTCGTCCTATTTTTGTAACTCCTGCCTTTTGAAAAAAAAAATCTAAAAACAAAACAAAATCCCACCTCAAAAGCCTCCCCTGTGGCCGGAGCCCCTGGTTGGCACGTGTCCCTCTGTCCCTCTGTCCCCAGTCCTGCCCCTGCACTGCTAAGGCAGCCTCTACCACATGGCTGATGGCCATGACCAGAGGAAACTATTCAGCTCCCAGTCCACGAGCCCCAAAGAGGCCGAGGCCGGCTTGGCACCCTGACCTGCCAGCCACTTCTCTGGTGCATGGTACTGCCTCTGTGGCCTAGGTCAGTGTCCCGAAGGGCTCCTGAGCACCAGTGGGAGATTGTTCACATGGCCTGCTGGGACTTCCTCCTCTGTAGTTCTGAACAAAGGGGTGGGAGAACCTGGAAATATGCATTTTAAAGCTCCCCCAGGGGAGCAACAAGACATCTGGATTGCCAACAGCTGGCCAAGAGTCTTTGCCATGCTGGAGAGCTTGTTAAAAATGAAAATACCTAGGCCCCACCCCATCTCATAGCTGTGGAATTGACAATGCGGGGGGTGGGAGAAGTGGAAGGTGAGAATCTGAGCTTCAGGCAGCTTCTCCAGCTGAGGACAGGGGGTTCAACTCCCGCCACGTGCCTACACGATGTGGGAAAGCCCAGAAGACAAGCAGCTCATCCCAGTGACAGCTCACATGCAGGGAGAAATAACGCAGGTCCCCAGGGCTCCATGGTCCTGTGCTCTGCTCCCACGCCTCGCAACGGTGCAGCCGGCCTGGGACTCTGTCATCTGAGATGCCCTGGCCAAGGCCTCTCTGGACCTGTAGGGCTGCAATGTGTAACCCGGTGAAAGTGAGCAAGACACCAACAGTCCACATGTTGTTTCTGGATGCACGTGTTAGGTGAATTTTGGTCCTGCACGGACTTGCAAAACAGCTCAAACAGGACCACCGTGTACAAACAGAACCCCACTTTATTAGCAGTTAGTTCACGATTGTACATTAATGGAGGAAGGTTCCCACTTTTAACACAACCCAAAACGGCTGGTTCAAGAGCCCTCATTGGGTGGAGCTGGATAGTACCCCATCTCCACCCCCTCCCTGGCCTGTATCCCCTTAGGTGCCCCCCACCCTTGCCCACCAGCCCTCTCCTTGCCAGTAAACAACATGAATTTCATGCACAAAGTATAAAAGCAGCCCTCTTGCTGATAACAAAACTAGCACGGTCACGGTAAACCTTCTGCTCCCTCACTCTCCTCTAGGGCCCGAGAGAAGGCGCAGGAGGGGCAAGCGGGAGCATCCTAGGGCTCCCCATGGCTGGGGTCTCCCCTAGGCATTGGTAGTTCCCCACACAAAGCTCACACTTTCTCATAGGAGAACAGGAACCATCCCTGGGAGCAAACCTGGAGCCCAGTGCTGCCCTGGGCACGTGGTGGGCATTGAGTGCCAGGGCATCTAGGTCCCTGGGCCTTCAGCAATTACACAGTTGCCTTCTGTCCCGCTGCTTGACAGCCCCCTTGGCCCCTTCCACTGAAGGGAAAGACTGAGGCCTGGGAGGGGCTTCACACACTCGTTACTCTGTGAGGGTGGCATTACCCTGTGCTGCCTAGGGCCCCACAATCTCATATTCACACACCCTACTCCAGGCAACCAGCTCCTTGCTTAGTTCTTTCTCTGGCTGCCTACCAGCCTGGCACCTGTCGGCCTCAGGGCCCACAGATCATGGGCCTTCAATAAGTGCAAACCCCAGAGCTATAAAACAGAAAGACAAATGTTGTTGGGTGCCCCTGTCTCTTGCACCCAGGCCCACTGTGTTGCTGCTTCCTCTGAGTAGCCCCCCACCTTAATCTCCCCAGAGCTCCAGCCACCCCTCTGTTGCTTTGGCACGTGACACAGGTGACAAGGAAGAGCTGTTGAGTCGGCGCAAAGGCTTCGATGGCCCTTGCAAACACAGGGCATAAAGGGACCAGCTCTAGGACACCATGAGCAAACACTCAGATCTGGGAAATGGGCCTACTCAATGGCCATGGGCCTGCTAGTCTCAAAGGTGGAGCCACTGAAAAAGCAAATGAACAGAGCAGGGAGACTTTATGGCATTGAGTGAGAGTCTGGCTCCCGAGTGTTACCGAGTGCACCTTGGTCAGGTCCCAATTCCAAAGCCACATAGGAGTTACTGATGGGTGGGTGGGAGGATGTCTGGGTAGGAGCACAGTAGCTGGAAGGAAATGATCACTTTCCTGCTTGTGGCAGTACCCGACCTCAGGGCGCAGAGGGTGACAGTCAGGGGTAAGGACACATACAGGGTGTGCAACTGACTAACCCAGGTCAGAAATACACTCCAGTGGTACAGAGAGCAAGAGCAACAATGTGGCAGAGCACACAAGATCTTGACTTTAATGCTGGATACCAGGCCATGATCCTTCTTGACAAGACATGTGTGAACTCTCTTCACACCTTGGGTTGCCTCTAACAGCGGTGCGGGCACTGCCAATCTCTGAGGGTCGGCCTGGAGACGTTGCTCTGTGTTAGCAGCCCCGGGGCACCGGCTGCACATGCCCACACTTCTGAGACCCATCTACGACCTTCAGTTCCTCCTTGGTGCAGCATGGAACGTTCTAGAATCTGGCAGCTACATACGACACCTCCCACCTGCAGACCTGAGGCTCCTGATGGGGGACCACAGAATGGACCATGGAGGGGGCTGCACAACCAAAGCTACATTCCTCTGTTTTATTATTTGGCCAAATGCTTAACAATGAAGGAGCAGACACTGAAGACTGGCAACGCTGTACCTGCTCCTCTTTGGGCAGTTAGGGTGCCTGTTAGCTGCCAGTGCCTCCTCTGCTCCAACACCTGAGGGATCTTACAGTGTCTGGACCCGGCAGACCCCCAGGAAGCATGTGTGAGTGGCAAGGGCAGTCCCAGCAGGTCCAAGGGTAGACAGCACAATCGGGGGTGAGGGGTGGGGGGTGGGGGGTGGGCAGTGAGGCCCTCCAGACCCTGCGGATGGCCAGAGAGGCCCAGGGCTCACACTGTAGATGGCGACACAGCTCCCCAACCTCACACACACACACACACACACACACACACACACACACACACGCGCGCGCGCGCGTTCTCCTTGGCCCCCAGTTTGGGTGAGGGCAACAGTGCACACTGCATGCCAGGAAAGCACAGGCTGCTGCTCGCCTGCCACCTTCTCTTCCCCGCTGCCAGCAAGGGCTCGGGAAGACAGAAGAATGGCTGGGGTCCAGAAAGAAGACACAGCTGGGTCCTGTTGGCTGGGGAAGGTGGGGGCACACACATACACAGGCCTGGAGGTGGGAGGTTCAAAGGCACCCTGGCTGGAAGGAGTGGTTTGTCCCATATCCTGGAATGGCCACAGTGGTGACTGAGGGAGAGGGACCACAGCTGGGCCTGGAGGCAGTATGGCCGTGCCCCTGCTCAGCTATGTGGCCCGTGCTGGGCAGGTCGCCTCCCTCTTCTGGACCCACTGCAGCCCTGAGCAAGGAGCACTCCAGCCCAAGGTGCTAGGTCTGCTAGGCTGTCTCGGGAAAGGCGCATCTGGGCAGGAGGCATCTGGTTCAAGGTTGAACTGGCAGTCGGAGGGGGCTGGGGGCAGGGGTCCCAACCTCAGTCACTTCACATTGTTAAAAGAAGGGAGTAGGGTACGGGGACAGGAGCAAATCCCAAGCAGAAGATAAACCAGCAATCCCATTGTCTGGGGGGTGGGGAAGGCTGAGACTCATGTGGGTGCTAGGGGGCATCCAAGCTCCCTGGGCAGCTCCCGACCTAGCACCATGTGAGGGGAAGGGGGACAGGCCAGCCTCAGGCCCTAGCTTGCCCGCTCCAGCCCCGGCCTCTTCCTTTGGCCAGAACTGTCCCAGTTTCCTGGAGAGAGCCCACCCTTCTCTGAACAATGCCCCACCCACCCAGGCCAGCCGTGTACAGGAAATGGGGAGTGGGGGATTAACAAGGAGTGGAGGCCCTCCAAGGACACCCTCGTGCTATGTGCAGGTGGCCCCGGACACTGTAATGACACATGACCCCTCCACTTCAGTCTCCGGCACCTTCAGGAGACGCCCTGCAAGACTAGAGCTTGCCACCATCTTGTATGATTGAATTAAAAACAAACCCAACCAAAAAAAATAGAATATATATATATACACATTATATATATATATATATATATATATATATAAAACACAGTGCGACCCCAGCACCCAGGGTTATAAACTCTGGCACCAAGAAAAAAAAAACAAATATTAAAATACTTTAGCTTCTTAGTATCGAGGAGGTTAAGGGGTGGGTATGGGGGTCACCTCTAGGAACCCCCGGTCACAGGTGGCTGGGGCACAACTCAGCCTGCATCCACTATGGCCGGGGCTGGGTAGGTGTGGGGACAATGCATGGATGCTGGAACCACCCCAGTCTTTAACCACAGGAAACACCACGCATGTCAGACCCCAGGGTGGGGAGAAGGGGGTGGTTCTGCAGCCCCGGGTACCTGCAGGAGGGGCTGAGGACCAGGAGAACACTGCAGGAACCAAAGTCTTTCCCCAAAAAGGGAAGGTGAGATGTTATAGGAGGAACCCGGACGTGGGGTTGAGTTCTCGCCAGGTGGCCATGCCGACCCCTGGCCTCGGGGCAGGCTCCGGCTAGCCAGCTGACCCCTTTCGGCCGGCCTGGCTAGAAACCCTTCAGGGATATGTCCAGTCTCTCTCCCTGGTTTGGCAAAAGGCCTAGCTAGATTTTTGTCCCTTGCTGTTTGGAGGACAAGGGAGAAGGTGGCAGCTAATACTGAGGGGGTGGGTGCCCTGCTGGGGCAGGGCGGGAAGGTCCGGTCGGGTGGCAGAACACAGTGAGGGACAGAGGGGAGGGTCGCACAGACTCCCTCCCGCCAACAGGAAAAGGCCTCCCCCACAAGAGGCTGGGAATGGAATGGGCCCCTGGTGCTAGGGAGGTCCAAGGGGCCGCAGAGCCAGCAGGGGCCGCTCCTCTGAGGTGTGTGTGCACCTGCCTGGGCCCCTTCTCTTGGCCCCACGTGGGCCTCACAGCGTATTGCTTGTTAAGTGCTTGGCCGGCCCAGGCCCGGCTCCCCACTCTGCAGGTAGTGTGGCCCAGCGCGCCGTGGGCGTCCCTGCCGTCGTCTCGAAGGTGCGATCTGGCTGCGGTGGCCGTGGCTACCTGGTGTTCTGGAGGTCCTCCCGCAGCCAGGTGGGCAGTGTCTGGCCCATCTTGTACAGCAGCTTGGAGAGCTCGATGTTGTGGTCCCGGTAATAGTCCTTCAGGAAGGCGCGGGACTGCAGGAAGAAGGAGATGCAGAGGTGGGCTCAACAGCTGGCCCAAGGTTGGGGGACACTCCCAAACACGTCCACGTCCACACCACCTCCCACCAGCACTGCCCCAGGCCCCTTAAAGGTCATGGCCTTTTGCCACACAGGATTTTCCAACAGAAAATTCCTGCAAAGCAGGAGCATAGGAACATAGCTTGTGAGGGCCACAACTGCAGGCAGAATTAAGTCGCAACCAGGACAAATGGGAGCTGCTACGTGCCTATGCATGTGCCACCTCTCCCCCAAGAAGGTACAATCCTGCAAGCTTCTCCCTTGGGAAACCTTCCTGCCTCTCCCCTGACCCTCTCCCAGGCCTCCAGGGATGGTGCCTGGTGGTATGTAGCTGGCCCTTGGCACTCAGGGTACCTTTCACATTCTTGTTGCTGAGTGGGTGGCCCTCACCTCCCTCCTAGACCACGAGTTCCCTGGAGGCAATGGTCATGTTTGATTCACCCTCGATCTCTTAATAGAAGGCAGTACTCTTACATGACTAAATCCATCTTGACCCACCATGTGCTCCTTAAGAATGCCATCCAAGGAACGCCAAGCCCGTGAATAGGCAAAGCAGAAAAAAGTCTCTCCCCGTGCCCCTCGCTCACACCAGACAGAGACCCTGTCCTCCCTCCCAGCTGCCACGGGCAATGTGCCTCCACTTACATCCAAGTCCATCTCTGGGTATTTCCGGCCCTTACTTTTGCCCAGACACTTGGTTTTTCCTCCTTCAAGCAGCTGACACCAAAATCCTTTCTTTGGATCAAACCTGTGGAGGAAGGAGAACCAGTGGGTGGGAGCTAGTGCAGCCGACCCTGTTCCTACCTTAAGGCAAAATTCACCACGGAGCCCAGGACAGCAATGAACTGACTCCCATAATGCACCCTCCAGCTGCTAATGCTGTGAGGTTGACACCTGTCAGCTGCCCTGCCAGCATTTGCCCCCGGGATGTCCAACCACATCTGCCCTTCCTCCAGCCAAGGGCAGCCTCCATGCACCAAAGTGTCCCTGCTGCAAGCCGGGCAGCCTCAGTTTACTCGGTGATCAGTAATGCACACCCTCCCGTCCTTCATGTTTCCAGGAGAACTTTCTGACCATTCTCTAACGCTGTGACAAATTCTTTTCTTTGTTATTATTCTTCCTGGCTTCCAGGGACAATGGGAAGAGACAAAAAAAAAAAAAAGTAGATGCATCTCTATATCAAGGAATGCACTATCTGGAGCCAGCATCATGGTGCCCTGCATTAAGCTACCACTGTGTGGTTGGCATTCATATCAGAATGCCAGCTTGAGTCCAGACTGCCCCACTTCCAATCCAGCTGGCTTGATCATGGCCCCTGGGAAGATGGCCCAAGTACCTGTGTCCCAAACATCCATGTGGAAGACATGGATGGAGTTTCAGGCTCATGGCTCAGCCTGGTCCAACCCAGTCATTGTGGCTATCTGAGGAGTGAACAAGTACATCAAAGATCTATTTCTCCCTGTTACTCCCTTACTGTTTCTCTGCTTTTCAAAAAACAACAAAGTCAGGCCCAGCTCAGTAGCTCAGTGGCTGAAGTTCTTGCCTTACAGGTGCCAAGATCCCATATGAGCACTGGTTTATATCTTGGCTGCTCCACTTTCCCATCCAGCTCCCTGCTTGTGGCCTAGAAAAGCAGTAAAGGATGGCCCAAAGCCTTGGGACCCTGCACTCATGTGGGAGACCTGGCAGAACCTGCTGGCTCCTGGCTTTGGACCAGTTCAGCTCCGGCCACTGAGGCCACTTGGGGAGTGAATCAGCGGATGGATGATCTTTCTCTCTGTCTCTTCTTATCTCTGTAAATCTGCCTTTCCAATAAAAATCAGTAAATCTGAAAAAAAAATTAAAAACAGCCTTCTTCAAACAACATACACACACACAATCTTTAAGTATACTTACATATGTCTATCCTTGGAGAGTTTGGCTTTCTGGAATGAATTTCAAAGACAACAAAGGAAGACTGTCTTCCCAGGCAACATGTACAGAGGGAGGTGAGCCCTGAGATTGTCATGGGGAGGGGAGGTACCGGCAGCCCAAAGCAGTCCCCCTGTTCCCCATCATCGTCAGGAAGGCAGGGTTCCCATCTGGCAGGTGCAGGTCACAGGCTGGATGGTGGTGACGATGACAACAACACCACACACTGGGCAGGGAAACCCCCCAGGAGAGAGGGGTCCTTATTCCCAGTTTTCAGCTGGGTTAAATGGAGTTGACCAAGGTCATGCAGCGGATAGAGAGGTCCAAGATCCTGGCCTAGGCATCTCCCAGGCCATAGCCCCCAAGCACCCTTGCTGTGCCCCCTTTTGCACCTTCGACTTCCAAGTTAGTGATAAGAGGAGGGGACTCCAGAACCAGGGAGGTGACTTTATCCCTCCTCCTTCTCCAGCTGGCTGTGGTACCTGTCCCTGGGACCTTGCACACAGACAAGCACTTATTCCTCAGGGCATGGTGCCTGCATCCGTGGGACCATCAGTCATCACAATCACATTCAAAGGTCCCTTTCCCTGAATTTGTTTTAAGTCAAAATTGAATGCTAAGCAGCCTTTTCAAGAACTCACTGCTGGTTTACTTTTCTTAGATTAATCACTCTAAAATCGTTCAGCCCAGCCTGAAAAAGAACCCTCCAGCTGGGCTGAGCAGGGTGGCTCATCACCTCCCTTTTCCTGAAGCTGATACCTCTATGAACATGATTTAAGGCACACTAATGTTCATTGTTGTGCCAACCTCTGTCCAGACCACGGGTTCTCTGGCCCAGCTGCCCCATGGAAAGACAGAGGTGACACTCACGCCAAGGTTTTGTGGTAGTCGATGGTGTTGGTCACCCCAAGGAACTTCTGCACCGTGTCCATCACCTTGGCAGGTTCTGTTCGCAGCAGTTTTCCGTCCAGGACCAGAATCTGGAGAGCAGGAGAGGGAGGAGGGTGACCCAGATGTGCTTTCCCTCCGGGGCTGACCAGAACAGCAGTCACAGCAGCAGGTATAGGTCTGGTTTGCAGCATGGAGGCCAGCACCTGCCCAGTTCCACTTACTTCTCCACCACTGAATGGCAGGTGTACCTACACCCCAGAGCCTAGGGCCCAAATCCCTGCCACCCTCACCTGACCGACATCACTCTCTCCTAGAATTGGAGCCCATCCCTGTACCCCTCCAGCATCCCTCTCTCTGCTCTTGCTTAGCTGCCAGTCTCCATGTTACTCTCCCACTCAAACCCTCCAAAGGCTTTCCTAAAATGCCTGTTGCAGCCTGCCTCTGCCCACCCTCCAGCCATGCTCACCCTTCTAGCTACAGCCTCTCTGGGTCCCCTGAGAAATGCAAAGCCTCTTGCCATGGAATGAGGCATGACAAGGAGGACTCCTGTGTTGGGGACTGAAACCTTCCCCTAGATCCGGGAGGGCATTTCCAGCCCCATGACTGGGTAGAGAGATCACCAGACTGCTGGCTCTGCTTGGGGCTGGGTAGCGCACCTGGTTGGCATGGAAGGCGCTGAGCCAGCGCTCGATGTGCACGGCGTACCAGCCGGGGCCCAGGCAGCGGCTCTGCAGCGTGCGGAGCTTGGAGGACGCGTCAGGGCCAGCTGTGATCACCTCATGGAAGGTGTACTTCAGAGCCACGGCATCGTCGTGCGCTCGCTGGTGCTGAGGTCAAGGGGACAGGGCAGAGTCACAGGAGGTAGTCCAGGCACGGCCACCCAGCAAGTGTCCCAGAAATCCTGGGCCAGACTTGGAGGCCCTGACTCTACCTCTCCTTCCTGTTCAAAAGCCTCTGGGAAGTCTCCGGTTCCTGTTTTCATCTCTTTGCAAGAAGGGGGTTGGATCAGATCAGGGTGTGCAAATGAAGTACAGGTCCTGCCCCAGCCAAGACTTGCCTCACTTAGACTCATCATCACCTCCCCAAGGAAACTTGGCACTAAGCCTAGAAGGCAGCTGTTCACAGATACGATAAAATCGAGGCAGCATCCTTTGGGATCAGCCACACGCCAGTGCTGCCCCGGCCTGGAACCTATGCCCACACTTTCTGTGCTGCAAATGCAGCTCAGAGATGACAGGGAGACTGGACACGTCCCTTGCACTAAGCCATGCATTTCTCCACTTACGGGAATGGGAAGAGTCAGGAAAACAGCAGGTCAAGGGGGAAAGATGCTGGGTCTCCTGAGATCACACTGTGTGAGCCGTCAGCATGTACAGAACTCCCAAGTTCAGAACTGCAGGACCTACATACCACGGAATGCTGCACACCAGCCAATCCACAGCTAGAGCATTGCGGCCCTGACTCTTGGCTGAGAAGACAGACATCTGAAATGCCACAGGGGCAGGTGCTGGGGCACAGTGTGCTAAGCCACTGCTTGGGACACCCACATCCTGTACTGGGAGTTCCTGGTTTGGGCCTTGGCTACTTGGTTTCTGACCCAGGTTCCTGCTAATTAATAACGTACACTCTAGGAGCTAGCAGACGATGGCTCAACAACTTGTGTTCCTGCCACCAGTGTGGGAAACTGGGTTGAGCTTCTGGCTTCAGTCTGGCCCAGCCCCAGCTTACTGTGGCCATTTAGGGAGTGAACCAGTGGATGAAAAATATGTGTGTGTGTGTGTGTGTGTGTGTGTGTGTGTGTGTGTGTGTGTGCGCATCTGTCTCCCTCCCTGCCACTCTGCCTTTTGAATAAACCTCGGAAAATTTTTTCTTTTACAAAGCACAAAAATGCCACACATAAAACTTAATGAAACAATTTGTGAAAAAGGTACACACACACACATCTTCCAGACAAGTGTCATGGGGCTCCGGCGCGGTGGCAGGTGCGGCGTAGTCCCTACATGGAATACAGCCAGACCCGACCCATGGCGGCTTGCTCTCTCCCCGACACTGAGCAGCCATCTGCCGTGAAGGCAGACAGTAGAGAACTGGGATCCAGCACAGCAAAAAAGAAAAAGGGAGGCAAGTGCTTCTGGGGGATTTTTCCAAAAAGAGGAAATCCAACAGAAATGTAAATCTCAGGGCACAACTGAAAGTCCTAGAGAATGGGCTGGTGCAATTTGCTATTCCTCCACCTATAAGCTCTGGCTTCCTCTATGGGCACCAGTTTATGTTCTGGCTGTTCCACTTCCCATCCAGCTCCCTGCTTGTGGCTTAAGAAAGTAGTGAAAGAAGGCCCAAGTTCTTGGAACCCTGCATCCATGTGGAAAACCCAGAAAAAGCTCCTGGCTACTGGCTTCAGATCAGCTCAGTGCAGGCCATTGTGGCCATTTGGGAAGTGAACAAATGGATAGAAGATCTTTCTCTTTGTCTCTCATTTCTGTAAATCTGCTGTTCAAATAAAAATTTAAAAAAACAACAAAGTACTAGAGAACCAGAGGCAGCGGGCGTTCCCACCCTCACTCAGGGAGGATGTAGGAGGTAAGAGCAGGAGGACAGAGAGTTGGGGCACCAGCAGCCAAGAGGGCCTGCACCTGCTTCCTGCTGGGGATACCAGGGGACCCCGGTCTCCAAGAAAACAGGGTGGCAAGATATTCCCAAAGATAATCTAGCCCTAAGAAGCTGTCCTGGCCAGGAGAGTGGACACTTCCCAGGGGAGCTCCATCTAAGCCCAGGTCTCCCCATCCCAAAGAGAGAGCTGGTGGCTGAGCTGATGAGCACACAGCCTTGTCCTCCTCCTGCCAGGACCCACTTCCAACACACTCAACGCACTCAGCAGTGGCACAGCTCTGGAATACTGGCAGGGGAGTAGAGAAGGAAGGAAAAAAAAGGCCTTCAGGCTTCCCTGAAGGGGAAACTGAGTCTTACACATCTCATACAGGGACTGGGACATGTCCCTCTGCATGTGTCACGGGGCAACCAGCTGCGCAGCCTGGTAGGCACTTATACCCCTTAAGCCAAAGACAACAGGCCCTGGGCTTTGCTCTTCTCTAAGTTCCTACCACTATTCCATCCCGTTCTCTTCCAGGCCCAGGGAGGCAGCCACAATCACTGCTGGCCAAATCTAGGCTTCTTCTAAGCTGAATCCACCTCTAACTCTGGTGGAATCAGAATCAGAGGCAGGACACCACAGAGTGGGCCAACAGAGTGGGCAACCAACTTGCTGGATGGCAACTTCCACCCATCTCCTCCAGCCAGCTGGAAGCACCAAGTAGGCAGGACTTGATTCCACCTGCCACCATATGGCAGTTGCTCATTCAGGACTGTCTGTGACAGGTGCTTAATAAAGCATCTCAGGAGTGAATGAGCAGGTGCCAGACAGAGCCCTGCACCTCCAACTCATGGATGCCCCAACACCCCAGCTCTGCTCACCTGGTACCAGGAGTAGGCTCGGTCCGCCGGGTTGATGAGGATGGTCAGGATCTTGGCCTTCGGCAACAGGGCGGCCGCCCGCCGGGGTGCGACTTCTGAATCAAAGTAGTTGGCGCTCTTCTCAAAGTAGAAGTCGGAGGTGGTGTTAGAGGGGATAGGGAAGAACTCCATGTACCTGTAGGACGCCCAGGAGGGGTTCGTGAGGGAGGGTGGGCATCATTGGCTGGGGCTTCCTCTGAAAGCAATACGGGCACACCATCCCAACAAAGCAAAGACCACCGCCACTACTGCTACTGCTGCCTCTCTGCCCTGGATGTTGTCTTTCCCGGGGGGGGAGCCATGAGCCCAGGATCACCCAGACTTAGGAAGGGATGTGGGTTGTAGGGCATGTGTATCGTGGAATTCCATCCAAAATTCTAGGAACCTTCCCTATGATGTTCCCGGGGCAGGACTGATGGGGCGCTACCTCTCTTCGCCTCTAGGTGGCAGGCTTGGGTTCAGAGCAGAACCACCTCTGACCAGGGATGGCCAACACTGGGAAGGGTTTTCTTTTCTAATGCCCAGAGTGGTGTTCAGCTCCTGCCACTCACATCCTCTCCCCAGTCTGCCCACAGCTTTCAAGACAAATGTTCTACATGTCACTTCATCACACTTCTGGGTTCAGGGCCCCTTGGAAAAGTCAATGAACGCCACAGGCCTCCCAGCAGCACTAACTCACACAAGATCAGGCCATGATTTGGGGTGTGTGAGAAGGAAGACACCCTAATTAAGGCTGTAGGTCCCTAGTCTCGCCTATTAAAGGTTTCTCAAAAAAAAAAAAAAAAAAAGTTTCTCCAGGGTGGTCCCAAACACAGTCCCCCATCAGAAACATCTGGGGGCACTGGCCATGTGGTACAGTGCGTTAAGCTGCTGCCTGCCACATTGGCATCTCATACAGGCACCAGTTGGAGTCCCCGCTGTTCTGCTTCCAATCCAGCTCCCTGCTAATGTACCTGGGAAAGCAGCGACCTGCATGAGAGGCCTGGCTCAGCTCTGGCCATTGCAGCCATTTGGGGAGTGAACCAACAAATGGGAGATCTCTTTCTGTCTCTTCATCTCTCTGCTGTTCCGCCTTTCAAATAAACAAATGAATAAATCTGGGAGAAAAGGAGGAAGGAGAACACATCTGGGCCTCTTGGATTCTCTCATTCTACCTTGCACCTACCTACAATATCTCCCTCATCTTCCTGAATTTTCTCTGCCCACAATGCTTCGCAGTCTTTAGACTGGGAACACTCTAAGAACAGATACTTGATTTGTTCTGTAGCAAAGTGCCTGACTTAGGCACCCTTCTTCCTGCAAACCACCAACACACTTGGCTACAGACACACTCCTTGCTCGAAGGGTGCTGCCCAAGCCTTGGCGCAGATGTTGCCTGGCACGTGGCTTATGGCTTCCCACCACACAGCCTTTCCAAGCTGATGAAGGCTGACTTCCAAGAACACATCCGGCCACAGTGGGTTTTAGATAAGAAATTGTGGACATGTTACAGATAGATGGGTGCCTGGATGGATACAGGTAGACAGACAGGTGGGCAGAGGTGTGTTAGACATGACAAAAACACACAACCGGCACAAGGCCAGAATCTGACCCACACAGGTCAGCTAGTGACATACAATAATCACAGTAATACAGGTGCGCAAAAAGACGAGAATTGACTAATGAGAGAGACTGGCCATAGCTCACAACACTCCCACCCTTGCTGCAGCCTCCAACCACAGGTTCAGGTGGGCAGCTGCAGGCCCAACCTCCGAGGGGACATCCCAAAGACCAGCAGGCCAGCTCTGAAGGGCACCTGCAATACCTGTCACTCAGTCCTTGCCCTGTCCCCAGCTGACCATGGGGCCCTGGATGTGTGTGTCTCTCTCCACCCCTGGGACTCAGCCAATTTCTGTGAAAGCAAGCGAGGGGCTGCGCTCTGACTCACCCATCTCTGACCCCAGTGGGTGACACAGACGGCTGTCTGGAAGGCAGCTTGCATACCATGACCCACGGTCCCTGCCACCCTGTGGTCACCACACTGTGTCTCTGTTTACAGGAACCTCAGCTGCATGTGAGCAAGCATCGGCTGTTTCCTGCTGGCTACCCTGGCACGCACCATGCTGGACAGCAAGGCCCACTCACCAGTCAATGCCTTTGTGATAGTTGTGGCCGTTAAAAAACTGGATCTCCTCGAAGGTCTCCGAGCTGGGGTAGTTGCTGCTCAGGTCTGGGTGCATGCCCAGGAACAGATAGAGGGCTGTGGTGCCTGTGGGGAGGAGGGGCAGCTGAGAGAATGAGGGTTTAGCCCCCCACCACAAGATGGAGTCTGAGTTTTGAGCCTAGTTCTGCCTAACCCACAGGGACAACCTGGGCCAAATCCCTTCCCTTCTCTTGGCCTTCTGTTTCCTCATCTGTACAATGAAGAATTTATACTGACCTCGGGATGGCCAATTGCTGGCATGTGTGTGCACCTCACTACTTCTGTGCCCCTTGCAGACATCACTAATCCATCACTCTTCATCACTGAACAAAAAGGTGGTCTCGGAATCCTTCTCACCACAGCACTCCAGTGGTGCCTCTGCCTGCCTGCCTGCCATCTCAGGATCGCAGAACACAGTGCTCCCTGCTGGCCTTCCCCACTTTGGACCTCAGTCCTCTGTGGACCTGGGAGGAGCTCAGACAAGAGTGGCCTGGTTCTCAGTTCTGTTTCTGTGATCCTCAGAGGGATCCAGCTCCCATGTCCTGCCCACTGTGCGCCCTTCCCTTCTTCCTCCTGGGGCTGTTGACTCCTCATTCCCTGTGCTCCGAGTCTCCGGCTTATTGCTACAACAGGAGGGCCTTAAGGAAAAGGGGCTGTCATTCAGTGATTCAGAGCAGAAGCTCCGGTGTCACAGACTCCAGGGCCCAGGATCAGGTACTGCAGTCCTAACTGCAGTCCTAACTGAAGGTATTCAGAGAAGTCGCTTTACTCCTCTCGTCTGAAAAGGCAAGAATGCCCATTTGTGCCTTAAAGGGTCACGTGGTGGCCAGTTACCTGGCAGACATGACTAGTCGATGGTCATCCTTTTTGCACAGAAGCAATCCTGCCTGACTCAGACTTGCAGAGCAATTGATGTGGGTTTTTGGAGACTCCCAGGAGGCTGTGTCAGGACTAACGGGCGTACAGCGCGGACCACCCGCCACGCCTTCCTGCCCCACACTGGCTGGCGATTCACATTCGCCCAACTTCACTTCTGCTTCCAGGGAGGTGGGGGCAGATCCATGGGGAGCGGGCATACAGCAAGGCGGTCCCCACAACCCCATAGTTGCCGGAGCAAGGCTGTAAGGGAGCTGGGGAGACCTGCCTGTTTTCTGGGGGCCAATGATGAGCAGCTTGGGGAAGCGGTCACACGTCTTCTCCTTGGACCAGATGTCTTTGTGGCGCTTGTCCTCACAGGGGTCCTAGAGCAAAAGGGGAGGATAGATGAGGGGGTGGGGTGCACATGGACATGGGGTTCCACAGCCCACTGACAGGCATGACACCCCCAGATCTGCAGCTGTTGACAGGCGGGGCTGTTTCTGGCGAGTTCATTGATCCTTTGAAGGGCCTGGCACTCAAGAGGAACTTGGGAGTACTTGTTAAATTCCACTGGGTGAGCTGTGTCTGAGCCAGGGGTCAGGAGACATGTCTTCCAAAACTTGTAGCTCTCTGCATAAACATTTTAGGCTATGAGTGCTCCTCAGTTGCTATGGCAACCACTCCAGCAACCCTAGACATACAGAACAGTGAGTGTGGCTGTGTGCCAATAAAACTTTATTTACAAAAAACACACCACAGGCTGGCTATGGCCCATGGCTTGTGGACTCCTACTCTGAACTATCGGACTGCCAATCAGTTCCAACTTCTGCTCCCAGTGATAACAGCCCTGGGGCACACACACTTTCCCAAGGACTGGCTCGTTATTCCTCCCTTCAGTCCCCTTCTTCAAGGCTCAGTGCTGCCACTGCAGCTAAAAGGGAGCACAAGAGATTATCCAAAGCCCTGAGGCACAGCCCTCCATCCACACTAAGGTTACAGTTTGGTCAACCCGGTGTATAGTGCGGGGAGGTGTGTCCATGCACGTACAAGTGCACACACATGCAGGCAGCAAGCGTGCCCTGCTGGCAACACATACACACCTACGTTGACATTCCAGAAGGGGCATGAGGATGTGAGCGCTCAGCCTGGAGGGTGTGCCTGGCAGCAACTAGCACTCCACTCCTGCAGCCCAAGAGCCAGGCCTGCCCTGTGCCCCCACCTGCCAGAGAGGATCCTTCTCCTCGGAGAAGATCTGGAAGTACTTCTGGGCCAGCTGCACGGGGGGCAGTGTCTGCAGGCGCAGGTTGGTCCAGGAGTGCAGGAAGCGCACCAGGTGCTTGAAGGTGTACAGGCCCAGGCGGTCATTTCCATAGTTGGACAGGTGTGTCATGAAGATGCTAATCTGCTCCACAGGTAGGGAGGGGCAGGGGAAAGCAGGAATGAGGTCAGCCCCAGAGCCACCCTCTCATCCCCACCTCTGACCCTTCTGGGCCTGCCTCAGCTAGCCCAGACACCCAAGAACCAGTGCAAGGCACTGTGTGACCTTGGCCAGGCACACACAGGTGTCACTGACTTCACCAAATATGGGAAGCTTATGAGCATGTTGTTTGGGAAATCTGGAGGCATATGTATGTGTGTGTGTGCAGGGACAAGGGGTCCTCAATGAAGCCATGAAGCTGGGTAATAATACAATAATCACTTGCTAAGTATTCACAGGGAAAAGGGAATAGATTTGCATGTATATGCACATGAACAAAAACCATGCAAGAAAACATGCATGACTGTCAAGTGCGTGACTGGGTGGGGTGAGCATTTGGTGTAGCAGTTGCTTGGGAGGCTCCCATCCCACAGTGGGATCCCAGTTGTGTTTCCGAGGGCAGCTTCCTGCTGATCACACCCTGGGAGGCAGCAGGTGAAGGCTCAGTACTTGGGACCTTGCCACCCAAGTGGGAGGGCATCTAAGGAGTGGGGCAGCCACCAGCGGGAGGTCTCCTCTGGCACTCTCCGTCTCTACTTTTCTTTGTGTCTCTCAGATAAAATACATACTTTGTAAAACAATCTTAAGTGCATGACTACAGAAGCCCAGGTTCTTCAGCCTTGACCACACAGCAGAAGAGGGACAAAGGACAAGAGGCAAGGGGAGGGGGGACCCCACACAGACATCCTGAGCCCTTTGCCAGCCTTGGCCGGGGAGCACTTACGGGATTGAGGAGTACGGTGAGGAAGAGCTCGCCGCCGTTGATGATCTTGTCCAGCTCACTGGAGCCGCCGGGGTACTCGTTGTAGAAGATGGTATGTGTGAAGAGGCCGCAGGTCTGGCGCGGCAGGACCTGGGGGTGGGGAGAGGCTCTTTGGGGGCTCCAGACAGGGATGGTGGGGGAACAGACTCTTTCAGGAGATGGGCCAGGCTCTCTCCCCTTGTGCAGTACCCTTGCCCCTTAGAGGTATCCTGGCTTTAGGATGTTGTAGTCATTTGGGAAATGAACCAACAGAGGGAAGATCTCTGCCTTCAGCTATCTTCCCAGGATGCAGCCCTTGCGCCCTCCACAGCAGGTGTGCTCACAGCCACCCAGCACCCTGGGCCCTACTTGCCATGATGCCATTGTGGATGAAGCCGCGGCGGTAGCGAGCGGGTTTTAGGTGGGGGTACTCCTCCGTGCTGGTCACGCGGATGCTCCACACCTGCTTCCAGGCCTCATACAGCTGCACGTGTACAGGATACACACCCGAGTGGTGGGGTGCCACTGCGTACCCCATGTCCGTGGGAATGCCATGCTCCTATGGGGATGGGAGGAGGATGAGCAGGGAAGGGTAAGCACGGGGTCTTTCCCCTTTGGCCTTACCTCCCCCTTGCAGGATGGGAGAGAGAAACCAGAGGCATCAGAGGCCAGAACACAGTGCACAGGTGGTCCCGGCCCTCTCAGGGCAGGTGGAGAGGCTGAGGCTGGGGAGGGGATGTGGAAGAAAGGGACTGGGAATCTAAGCGGGTGACAGACAGGGCTGGGACTAGAACCCAGGTCTGTTCTCTAGGTCCAGTGAGTGAAAACACACACACACATATGCACGCATGCATGCACACCCTCCCACCCACCCTACCCCTTCATCCCACCTTCAGAGTAGTAATGGGCAAGCATGGGGCCTCCCCACCTCTCTTGCCTCTCAGTGGCTAGGAGGACCAATCTAGCCCACCTGACACCCAGGACCTCTTCTCTCCCAGAAGCTGAGCACTTCTTCCAACTTTTCCAACTTCCTAGGGCCTCCAGCTGTCAGCCTGAAGGCAAGAGCAGTGGCTTGTGCAGCCGACAGGCTTGGGCTGAAGACCCCTGGAGCCTTAACTGCCCTTATGTGAAGTGGAGCTACTCTCATTGAGACTTCCTAGAGAAGGAACTCACAATGCCAGTCCACCCTGGCCCAGGAATGCTTGTTAAAATCTGCCAGCCTATACTGCCACGGCAGCCAGAGGCCAGCAGTCGGGATGCCCAACCCAACCCCTAGCCCTCCCAGCGCTGCCCTGCAGGGAATCTTACTCACGACAGCGAACTTCTTGTTCAGGGCCATCTGCTCGGCCAGCACGGACTGGTTGTGGAAGAGGTGCGGCTGCATGTGGCTCCACATGTGGGGGAACCACCAGAACTCCTTAACATATGACAGCAGCAGGTCGTCCCCCGCGTCCTCTGCATCAGTACCTGTGGCCGTGACACAGGTTGCTCAGCAGTGTACCTCAGCCTAAGCCTGGACCTGGACTTGCGTGCACACAGTCCTGGCACACCCAACAACTGCCTAGGAAGTGATCTTAGCTATGGCACTGGAGCAGAGCTCTGGGCTAGGGCCGAGAATGTACCATTGACAGTGAATGGGCAGGGCCAAAAACCAAACCCTCGCCAAGCACTGGTAAATATCAGGCTCAGGATAAATTATCTCAAGGGTTTCTTACAACTTTTGACACACCTGCTTGGATCCCGTTCCAGTGACAGGGATGGGGTCATTTGTCTTTCACCCTCTGGTCATTAGCAGCTCTTTTTTCTCCTTTCATTCTTTTTTTTTTTTTTTCTTTCATCATAAGTGTTTTCCAAGTTTTTTTAAAATTTTACTTCTTCTTATTATTATCATTTTATGATACAGGTCCATAGATCATGGGATTTCCCTTATCCCCTCCCCAATTCCCTTCTCCCTCACTGAGTTCCCCTATATCATTACTATAGTATAGTTCTTCATACACAATCATATGTCCATCATTGTAGGCATGGACAGTGGCAGAAAGTACAGTATCCTATTGTCAAGATATAGTAAACAGTTTCACTGGGAGTCCGTCTTTGGAAGTAGAGATGCATACTGCATTGTATCCTCACATCTGGATATGATAGTCTCCATTACGCAGTTACTATACTTCCCCTTAAATGAAAAGCCACGATACAAAATCAACAGCAGGAAGAAAAACAGAAATTTACAATGCCATGAAGTTAAATAACATGCCATTAGCAGCTCTTTATACATTTACAGGAGGTATAACCACTGCTTCACACGTGGTTCCACCTTCCGTAAGGGGAAAGAGGGCAGAACCGGGCCTGGTTATCTCTCCTATCTGCCTTTGGGGCTGTGCTGTACCCTTCTCCACGCCACCCCAGACTGTTGACCAATTGGGCTTTGCCTGGAATTCAAGAGAGGCTGTCCTCACTGTGGCCTGGGCACAAATGGCCAGAGGGCGTGGTCATTGTAGATTGGGGGTTCTTCCCTCTTGCCCAGTCCCCAAAGGTAAACACAGAAAGGAGCTGAGAGTCCCAAAGAAGGAAGGAAGCCTTGCAGCTGTTTGGCCTGGGGGTGGTGACGCTGCCCGAGATGCCTGTGACTCCTACTGTGCTGCCTGGGTTCGATATCCGGTTCTGGGTCTAGATCCCAGTTTCTTGCCAAGGTAGACCTCAGAAGGCAGGACTGATAACTAGGATAATAGGGTTCCTCCCATTCACATGGAGACATGGAAAGAGTTCTCAGATCCTGCTTTCCACGCTGGCCCAGTCCTGACCACAGTGGACAGCTGGGGAATAAACCAGCAGGTGGGAGCTCACTTGCTCTCTCTTCTCCCCCTCTCAAATTGTTTTCTTAATTTAAAAAATAAATAAGAGAAATGAAGGCAGATGTAACCCAAGCAAGTGACAGCTGCTTTTCTCACCTACAACTGTAAACCACCCTTGCGACACAGGTCCAATGGTTCCAATGACACAGCACTTTACAACCTGTGTTGTGCACTTCTGCAATGTCCTTACAACTCACCAGATTCTATCATGAGCAGAAATGACACAGTCAATACTGAGAGGTGGGAGGTGAGGGGGAGAACACAACCTAAAGGCGATGGGGAGGGGCAAGTGAAAGCCCCCCCGGCTGCTGTCCCAACAAGGCCTCTGCCTGGGGCTGGGGCTGTTCTTGTGGGCCCTGGCTCTGGGGGACCCCCGTTGCGCAGCGCTCCAAGATTTCTGATGTTGGCATCCCCAGAAGTGACAAATGAGGCAGGGCAGGCCTACTTACCTGTGTGGAAGAATTTCCCTGAGTAGCCCAGGTTGAAGGTGAAGTTTGGGATGTGTGTGCGTAGCTCGTTCTGGGTATCAAACAGGGCCTAGGACAGGCAAGGGAAAGAGGAAGGGATGAGGGGCTGCCAGAGCTCCTCCAAACAAGGGTCGGGAAGGATCCTGCTGCTACAAGACTGGTTGCACAGTCAGTAGGCCCAGGTGAAAAACAAAAAAGGGGGACACTTATTCAAAAGTCACAAAGATGGGCTGGTGCTGTGGCATTCAGAGGGTGAAGTCATCACCAGTAATGTTAGCATCTCTCATGAGCACCAGTTCAACCCCACCAGCAGCTCCATTTTCAATGCAGTTCCCTGCTAATGACCTGGAAAAACAGGGGAAGGTGGCCCAAGTGCTTGGGTCCCTGCCACCCAGGTGGGAGACCCAAATAATTTCAGGCTCCTGGCTCCAGTGTGGCTCCAGCCCTGGCCATCATGGCCATTGAGGGGGTGAATCAGCAAATGGAAGATCTCTATCTCTCCTTCTCTCTCTGTAACGGTCTTTCAGATAAATAAATCTTAAAGTTATGGAGAATGTCAAGCAGACAATGGCAGAGTTCAGGCCCACACAGGCTCTTATTCCCATCCCTGACTGACAACTGAGAAATGGTGGGATGTGCGAGCCACTGCTACCCTGCGGGGACGGCCGCTGTGAGCCTCAACACCTTCATCTGTCCCGTGGTGGGGGGCTTCTCTTCCTTGGTGGCTAATGTTGACTTCCCAGGGCCTCCCTGCGTGACACACCCAGTGCTTGGCAAGTCAACATAGCGAGGCAGCCGCTTGGCTGCTGGGAAAGCTGTAACACCCTGGTGTCAGAGCACTTTGCAAACCAAAAGTCCTGGCCACTGCCGGTGAACACACAGGCTCCGGCTGGCTGTGTGGCCTGGAACAGGATGCTCCCTTGCTTCTCGGAGCTCTGGTGCCCTCTCCAGCAAAACGGGCTGCTGGGAGGATCAAATGAGGCAACCGCCGGGCAGGCGAGAAGGGAGCTGGGCCCAGCCAGGGCCTAGTTCAAGGGCTGCCACTGGGATTATGCCAGCTGCGTTGTGCAGCCTGTGCTGTGCGAACTAATGAGGCAACATTTGTGTTTAACAAACAGGGGCTCCACGGTGGCCTGGGCTTGGCATTGGAGGGGAGGAGGCACTGGCTCTGACTGGTTCAGAGAGGCCAGCCTCAAGCCCTCTGCAGCCTGCAACCTGGAAGAGGGCACCTCTGCCCACACCCTGTACGGAAACCTGAACACTGCCCTCCTTCCTTGCTGGAGACCTGGCAAAAACCAGACACACAGCAGGTTGCCCCACGCAGGGCTGATAGGGACACATGGAGCCTGGCAGCCTGGCTTCCTTGCACAGGCACGCCAGCCACGGTGATGTCAAGAGAGGACAGGACAGGCCGCAGGAAGACTGTCCAAAGGAGGTGGGAGGAAAAAGCCAGAAGGGCTCACAGGAAGCACCCCAACATTTCCTGTGCATGAGACAGCCCTTGAAGACATACACTCTTGGGAGGAAGCACAGGGCAGAAAAGCAGACAGGGACCAGCAGGCACACCCCCATGACCACGTCTTGCCATTTGACTGCTGAGGCTGCACAGCGGTTAGTTCCTGCTCACCAGTGCCACCCTGCCCATTGTTCTTCTCTGTGGGAGGAAGGGAGGGGACAGGGAGTCCCCTGCTGACCCTGGTAGGGACACCAACCCCTCCAGGACCTTCCTTCCCAGCGCCAAGGAGAACACAAACGCCTGCATGACTCAGGCAAAAAGCATTCCTCTTCCAGCCCGTGTCTCTTTCTAAAGCCGGCAGTCAACATCAAAGACAAGGCTGCTGCTGGTGTTAAGATGTTTCCAACACGTGCTAATCTCCCCTAAGAGAGGGCCGTGTCACAGGCACAGGGCAGAGGCGCTCTCTAGAATTTAATCCCCTGTTTTGTTTTCACTGGATTTATTGTTATGGTTGCCTGCTATTTATGGCACCAATTTCCCACTTACACTGGGATGCTGGTTGCTTGGCCAGCACCTTCAAGTGAAACAGAGAACAGATGAAAACTGTATGCTAAAGATGGTTAGCGATCATAATGAGCAGGCTTTGCTTTGTGGTCGTTCACATGTGCATAAAACGTTGGTGGTTTGCAAAGTGCTTCGATGCACAATTTTGTTTGGTAAATGCCTTCTGTATTAACTAAACATGAGCATTGTGCTATCTATAAATACCTCTAGAAACGAAGCCTTAGTTATAGGGCTGGGTGTTGGGCCTAGCCATACTATGGCACCCTAACCCCATATGGGAGTTAGGAGCAGGCTCCTCCAGACCTGCTCCCAATGCCTGCTCCCCGCTAATATGCACCCTGGGAAGCATTGGGTAACGGCCCAAGTTCTTGGGCTCCTGCCACCTGCTGGGAGATCTGGATGGAGTGCCAGGCTCTGGGCTTTGGCTTGGCCCAGTTCTGGTTGTTGCAGTTCTTTGGGGCATGAACCAGTAGAGAGAAGATCTATTTCTCTGTCTGTCTGTCTCTTGGTGCAACTGTACCTTTCAAAGTAATGAAGAAATATTACAGACCAAAAAAAAAATCGGTATTAAAAGGAACCACTGTGCTTCAACTGACAGGAGTGGGGGCCAGGCGGACTGGACAATGGTGACAGTGCCCTGAAGGCCCCGTCTCACCTTTACATCCTCCACCTTCATGCGTGTGCCCTCTTTGCCCACGAAGATGTCGTCGATGTCCACCAGGATGTAGCGGTCCAAAGGCAGCGAGAGGCGCTTGCCTGTGAGGAAGGCCACAGCATCCACAAACACGAGCTTGTGCAGCCAGAAGTTGAGGTTGTTGCCAAACAGCACGCGCTGGATGCCGTCATGCAATCCCAGGTCCTGGACCACAGTGGCGTGCAGTGCTGCATGCAGGCCAGCATCAGCACCCAGGTGTGGGATGGACTCGGATGAACGCGTCTTGGCCAGCAGCACCGGCTCATAGGTAGAGTGGTTGGACTGGAATACAGTCCAGTCTTCGCCAGGCAGCACACCCTTCTCCACCTCGCTGGGCCGCGTCACGTAGAGCAGTGGGGACTTGGGGTTGATGCTGCAGTCCTTCAGGCCCAGGTTCGAGTGCAGGAACAGCGGGAAGCCCTTGAGCTGAGCACTCAGCAGGCTGTTCTCATTGGCCTGCAGTGGGATGGGGAAATAGCCATCAAATTCCTGCAGCTTAGCTGTGGGCTGCTCACAGGAATACCAGCAATGTCCACCTGTACCCGTGAAAGCCTTATCCTACCTGGCATGTCCTCTGCTCCCCTCGCACAGTCATAAAGTGACTCCCTGGACAGAGGCAGGCCCGAGCCAGGCCTGAGTTCTTGTGTATAAGGCCACTGCTTTCCTCCCAGAGACCCCACAACAGGGTTGTGTACCCATCCTACAGATGTGGAGCCAGAGGCCCAGAGACATTTAAATCATACAAGACAGGCAGTGGCGGGCAGCATGGACTCTGCTACTGGACCTACGCAAGCCTCAGTCCCCTGCTGTGAGAGGTGGTTATGAACAGTAAATGGCACCTGGGCACATGGAGGACATGGAGGACAGTGGCACAGTTAATGCCGACTGGCACACAGCTCCAAACAGGGCATGGGGCTCCCAAACTGGCTGCAGCCACACAACCCTTTCTCAAGGAGAAATCTGTTGTGGAAGCCACATAGGCAGAGGGCTCAGCATGGGTACAGAACAGCATGAAGCCAGCAGGGCGATCTTGAGGGACAGCAGGCAGAAAGGTCAGCTGGGGCCAGGCCCACAGGGCCCTGCAGACTTGAATAGGCATCAGGAAGCTTGCAAAGGCTCCATCAGAAGGTTCCACAAGCGACGATGCAGGCTCCAATTTGCATTTTGAAAAGCTCTGCCTGGTCACCATGTGGAGAGAGTAGGATGGGGCACAGCAAGGGTGGACAACACAAAGTGCAATTCCAAGCTGGAGACAGAGCTGGTTGGGTGTGAGGCCCTCTGGAGAGCTGCTCAGCGCAGGGCTGCTCCAGTCCCCATGGCACCAGAGCTCCCACCAGCATGAAGCTGCTGCCTGCTCACAGTAGCACTATCTCCAGACAGAATAGCTCCTCTTCAATTGCCACCATGGCCCTGCAGGGCACTGGCCCTGTGAACTATGATAAGGAGCCTCCATTTACTTCTGCAAATGCCAGGAGTCCCTGCCAACTCCCTGCCCTCTGCCAACCTCAGATGTGGGGCTCCATAGAGGCTTGCTCAGCTCCGGTTCCCAGCTAAACCTGCACTAGCCAAGGATGGGAACTGCCCAGGCTATGGGGGTGGGGGGGCAGGGGCCAGGCACAGCTCAAGCTCTGCCCGTCACCTGTCAAGGCTGGGAAGCCATGCTGGGCCATGGGAGCCAGGGCATCCCATTTCAAAGTCCCGACTCTAAGCTGGCTGCCAGGCGCCAACAGCTCCACCAGCTGCCCCACCATCAAGGAAGGGACAGTGCCAAGTTGCTGATGGCCCATACTAGCTGGCAATGATAGGAGTCAGCCAGGGAAGGGAACGGGGAGCCCAACAACACAGAGGGGGTCCTGCTGCAGACCTCTACCACAGGAGGTGCACGCCCTCCAGTTTCCCCTCCCTAAGGGCCCATGCAGGGCACATCAGGTCTTCCAACAAGGTCACCTCAGAGGCCTCACACAGACTTAACAGCTAACTGGTCCATGACCTTGGGAACCCCCTGTCTCCTTTCTGGGCACAGTCTCCTATGGCTGGGTAGGAAGTGGTAAGTGTGGCTGTCAAGTTATCCTAGAACTCAAGGGCTATGTCACTCTGGACAAACTATTTAGCTTTGATCTCACATGAAAATAAAGTACCTATGTCACAAGGTAGTTATAGGAATTCAACAGCAGCTGGCGTTAGAGTACAACCAGTTAAGCTGCCACTTGCAACACTGGCATTTCATATCAAAGTGCTGATCTGAGTCCCAGCTGTTTGGCTTCCTACCCAGCTCCTTACTAATGCGCCTGGGAAAGCAGCAGAAGATGGCCCAAGTGCTTGGGGCTCTGCACCCACATGGGAAACCAGGGTTGAATTTCTAGCCTCTGGTTTCAGCCTGGCCTAGCTGTAGCAAAGTGGTCATCAGGGGGCTCAAATAGCAAGTGGATGATCTTTCTCTTTATTATTTTGTCTTTCAAATAAGTAAAAGAATTGAACACAGTAAGGCCTGAAGAAGCATAAAGTTCAGTGTCTGGCACATGGGCACCATTGAGTGGAAGATGGCAGGCAGCCCTTGTGCCCAACCCCACAGCTGAGGGGAGACTGTGCCAGGCACTGGGGCCACAGGAGAGGACCAACCAGTTCTGCTGGAGCCCCAAAAGAAAATGCCACAGCCTTTGCTGAACCAGGACATGTCAAAGCACATCCAGTGGCTGCAAGTGCCAGGTGATGGGCGCAAGGCTTCCCATCCACTGTCTTACTTCACATGTGGAGCTGGCAGGGAAGCCACAGCTGCAGCAGGTCCCACACCCACCAAGAGATGGAATGAGGGCCCGGCGCAATGGCCTAATGGCTAAATCCTTGCCTTGCAAGCGCCAGGATCCCATATAGGTGCTGGTTCATATTCCAGCTGCTCCACTTCCCATCCAGCTCTCTGTGACCTGAGAGAACAGTCATGGACAGCCGAAGCCTTGGAGCCCTGCACCCCTATGGAAAATCCAGAAAAGGCTTCTGGATCCTGGCTTGAGATCAGCCCATCTCTGACTATTGCAGCTGCTTGGGAAATGAACCAGTGGATGGAAGATCTTTCCCTCTGTCTCTTCTTGTCTCTGTAAATCTGCCTTTCCAATAAAAATAAATAAATAAATTTTAAAAAGAGAGAAAGAGCGAAAGATGGACTGGGCATCATACCCACCATCAATCCTCTTCTAGGAGGCAGATGGACTGAAGCCAGGGTCTGCACATTTAAGCCTCTGCTCTCACACTGCCCTGGGAATGCAGGGTCAGTGGGAACTGCAAATCGGGACACCGGGGATTGGCAAACTGGGTGCACACTACTGAAGCTGGCCTGCCAGGAGTGGAGAGATGCATCTCTACCACTAGGGGGCGGGCACCTGGAAAAACAGTCACAGCACCGGGATCAAAACCAGAGGCTAGGGCCCAGCACCATTGCCTAACAGCTAAAGTCCTTGCCTTGCATGTACCCAGGATCCCATATGGGTGCGACCAGTTTGTGTCCCACTTCCTGTCCAGCTCCCTACTTATGGCCTGGGAAGACAGTCAAGGACAGCCCAAAGTCTTGGTACCCTGCACCCATGTGGGAGACCCAGAAGAAGCTCCTGGCTCCTGGCTTCAGATGGGCTCAGCTCTATCCGTTGCACCCAACTATGGTGTGAATCAGCAAACAGAAGATCTTTCTCTCTGTCTCTCTTCCTCTCTGTATATATGACTTCAATAAAATATAAATAAATCTTTAACAGCAACAACAACAAAAACAGATGGTAAAAGAGCGAGAAGACCATGGATGGCTCTATTGGCCCTGCAAGGAGGCCCTGAACATGCTTCCCCCTGGGTCTCATGTTTACCTTCGCAGAGTCAATGACTTGAGCTAGACAGGATCCAAGGTCTGTGGTGCAGACTGTGCCCAGGGCCCCCAACCCCTGGCAACCTGGCAGCTCTTGGTATCAGATGTGGCCCTGTGATGTACCCCCTATTACAGAAACAGTGTCAGGCCCGGCACAGTAGCGTAACGGCCAAAGTCCTTGCTTTGCACATACTGAGAGCCCACATGGGTGTCGATTCTAATCCCAGTGGCCCTGCTTCCCATCCAGCTCCCTGCTTGTGGGCTAGGAAGGCAGTCAAGGATGGCCCAAAGCCTTGGGAACCTGCACCTGTGTGGAAGACCCAGAAGAGGCTCCAGGCTCCTGGCTTCAGATCAGTTCAGCTTTGGCCATTGCAACCACTTGGGGAGTGAATCAACAGATGGAAGAGCTTCTTCTCTCTTCTCTGTGTATTTGACTTTCCAAGAAAACGAAAATAAATCTGAAAAAGGAGGCAAGGAAGGAAGGAAAGAAAAGAAAAGAAAGAAAGGAAGGAAGGAAGAAAGAGGGAAAGAGGGAAAGAAAGAAAACAGTGTCTGGGACTTCTGAGCTCAACCTGTGGTGCTTGGGACTAAGGCCCATAGAGTCAGACGCCTGTGCTGCACTCCCCGATCTCTGCTTATTAGAGGTATGAGGCTGGTGATGCTTGTTAGCCTCTCAGCCTAGCGTCCCTTCTCTCTTTGGTCAGGATGCTGTTGTCCTCCAGCCTTTGAGCACAGCTGATTAGCGTGGGGCAAGTTAATGTGTGTGCACGGCCTGCACACAGGCCCTGTGCCGTGTGAGCTCTCAATAGACGCTAGCTGCTCTGATGTGTTTCAGGCCTGGGGCTCAGGATCAAACGGAATGAGGTTCACAGGCTGGAAGGGTGTGGTGTCCAGGGGAAGAAAGAGGCCGACAATGGGAACAGCCCAACTCGACCGAGGCAGAAACCAGGCCAGTGTTCCCCAGGGGGTGTGCTGTAGAAGAAAGGGCTTTGTGATCCAGCCAGGTGGAGAGCAAATCCCACTGGTGGCTTGAGGTACGGCTTGTGAGCCTTCGACTGCTTAGCTCACAGAGACATCCTCAACTGGCCTGGGTCTCCCAGCACCAAGCACAGGGCCTCCTTTTCTCTCAGCCCACCCTGACAGGAGTCTGTTTCTGGACTGTTTGCACGTGGGGCCACAAGGAGCCGCTCCACCCCCAACCCCTCAGGCCACTTGATCAACACCAGTGTCAGCTCCCGCCACCCTGTGCCTGCTCCCTAGCCAGGCTCTCTCCCCTCACCACACCTGTGTGCACCTGCCCTGCTGGATAGTGACGGTCACTCCCTGCATCCCAGCCAAGGGGGTGGGGGCACTTCTGCCTCACTGCTATCTTATCTGTGTTCCTTGTGCTATGGATGAGTAACTGCGTGATCATCTGCCAAACCAGGAGTACATGCCCCATGGCAGTGCCACTTGAGCCCGTGCTCACTTACAGGACAGAATCTGTGCCCACAGCCTCAGCATGCTGTGCCAGGCACAGGTCCCAGCCTCTACTCCCTTTCAAGCGAGGCCCCAATCCCTGGATCATACTGGGAGTCCCCTCCCTACAGCCCGGGGCAGCCCCTTCCCTCCTGCCCTTCTCTCCTTTCTCCTTGTTCTCCCTGGGGATGAAGGGTACAGACTCAATGAACCAATTTATGAAGGGCTCACAAGGTACTATGAGCTCCCAGTACCACACACACTCGCGCACACACACGCATAACCCTCACAGCCACTTCAAGAGGCAGGTGCTGCCACTGTACCCATTCCACAGATGGGAAAAGTCCGTGCTCAGTGAGTGAGCCCGGGGCTGGGGCTCCACTTGAGCCCTCGTACCTTGAAGAAGCCGATGATACCCACGCCGTAGGCCACGCAGTACTTGTCCAGCAGCTCTCGGTTCCAGGCGTCCAGGTTGACATACTTGAGGATGTTCTCGTAGACAATGAGGGCGAAGCGGCCGCGGCCCTTGTCAGTGAGCGTGGGCATGTCCCCCTTACCCGGCGCGATCTCCGTGCGGTACTTGAAGCGGCTGGACTCCAGGATGGCCACCACCTCCTGGCCCAGCTGTGAGTAGAGGCTTTCCACAAACACCAGCACCAACGGGTCTGTGCGTGATGGGGCGGCCGCCTGCACGGGCTTGAGTGGCAGCAGGCGGCTGGGGGCCACAGGCGGTGGGTCGCCGCAGTCGGGCTCGGGCGCATCGGCCGAGGGCTCCAGGCCCCGCTTCCAGCCGTACAGATAGTAGGCTGAGACGAAGACGCTGAACAGGCAGAAGGCAAACAGCAGGAACATCACAGCCTGCGGGGACACGTGACGACACAGCCTCCTCAGGCACGCCAGGGCAGGCATCCTGGCCCCTGGGGACCTCAGCCTGCCCCGGCCACCCCGAGGCCCCGCACGTGGGTAGGCACGAGAGTCGTCCACTGGGCAACAGATTCACAGGGACTTGAGAAGCGAGGTCCTTGATGGGCAGCAGGCGTGGGAGATCCGGGCCCCCAGCCCTCCCTCCCAGCCAGAGGCGCAGTCTGCAGGCTGGTCTCGCTCCTTCCTTCCTCTGCGCCCCTTTATGTCACCATGGCAAACCCCCACGTGGTCCTGCACAGAGCAGAAGTGCCCCAGGGTATCAGGGCCTCCTGGGGGGGCTGGGCCGTGGGCCAGAAGACAGAGGGCAGGTCTGGGGGTGCCGCATGCTGCTCACTCAGCTGGGCCCCGCAGGGCAGTAACTGTGGAGAGAAAAGAAGAGTCAGAGTGTGGCTAGGCTCAGCTGGCTGCAGACACCAGGACCCGGCCTGCTTGTCTGGCCCAGGCCTCAGGACACTGCCTGATTGGGTAGTGTGACCTGGTGAAGCTCTTTAATTGAAGCCTCAGTTTCCCCAGTCATGAAATGAAGCCAAAAGTCCATAGGACCCAACCCCCATGAGGCAGAAGGACTCAGCACAACAATGCAGAGACATCCCTGAGGGCGGCCTCAGCACCCCCTGCTGGCATCTAAAGCCAGGCGAAGCAAAACCCCCGAAGTCAGAAGGGACCAGGTAAAACAATAAACATTTGCAAGTCCTGAGAGCAAGAGGCAGATTCTGATCACAACTGGACCCCATGTCTTCACGATCTGCCCTCCTCTGCCCACTCAGTCCTGTGCATCAAGTGCAGAGAGAGATTGTGGGGCAGAAGCCAGCAGCCCAGGCTCAGACACTGCAGGTGTGAGGTCTGTGCCTAGCTGGTGTGAGAAGGCCCCAGGTGGGAAAAAGCATCCCTCCACTGGCTCAGGCTGGGGGTCGACAGTGGACTGGGGCCAAGGGTTGAGGAGCTGGATATAAGCAATGCTCAAAAGGCACCTGCACAGAAGTGTGATGAATTAACCATCACTCACAACAACAGCATCCCATATCTGAGTGCTTGTATCAGTGCCGGCTGCTCTGCTTCCACACCAGCTCCCTGCTTGTGTGCCTGGGAAAAGCAGCGGGAGGTGGCCCCAAGTGTTTGGGTCCCCCGTCACTCAGTGTAGGAGACCTGGACGGAAGTCTTGTCTCCTGGCTTTGGTTTGGCCCACTGCCGATGATTGTGTCCATTTGTGGAATGAACCAACACGTGGAGGATGAGACAGCTCTATCTCCCGCTGTCATTTTGCCTTTCAAATAAATAAAAAACTTTTTTAAAAAGAAAAAGAAAAGAAACACTTAGAAATGGCAGCTGTCACCATTTGCTCTAACAACCAGGAAACTCTAACCTTCAGGGCCCATGTCCACAGGTGTACAGGGCAGCGAGTGACCAACTCCCTGCCTGAGGATCCCAAGTTTGCCAAGGGACAGGTGGGAGGGCTTCTGGCCACGTAGTGACCAGGATGCAGAGCTCCAGTCTCCACGCCCCCTCCCTTGAGACCCCGCCTCCTAGGCCTGCCCCCTGTACCTGTCTCTCTGGGAAGAGTGAAAGATGCATCTTTGCTGCACAAAGGCCTCTATTCTCTCACCTCAGACACAGTCCTCCACTTGCCCTTAACACAGGTGAAAGCCACAGGAAATATACCACTTTCTATCACCCACTGCTAGTGAAAGTCAGGAGCAATCCTGGTGGAATGGCAGGTGTGACAGCCTATGCTGGGGCAGTCGCTGCAGGTGCAGCCTCAGGGTGGAGTTCTGGGAAAGCTCCCACCCAACCCTAGGAGAGCACAGTAAGCACAGCCCCAGGGCAGCAGCCAGAGAACAAACAGCTGCATGTCCAGGAAGTTATCCTAGAGGAGGAGGTGCAGAAGCATGTGAATTTTTCCCCAACAGCACACAAACTGCACGCAAACCCCAGTGTGGTCTGTAACAGCAAGAGCCCAACAAGAGCGGAAGCCACAATGCGAGGGGCCAGCACTGTGGAGCAGTGGGTTAAGCAGGAATCTGATTCATGTCCCACTCCTGATCGATCCAGCTCCCTACTAATGCACCTGGAAAAATAGCAGAATACAGCCAAAGTGCTTGGTTCCCTACAACCATGCAGCAGACCTGGAAGCTCTTGGCTCCTGCCTTCAGCCTTGCCCATCCCTAGCTACTGCAGTCATTTGGTAAGTGAGCCAGCAGGTGGAAGATCTCTCTCCCCTTTTCTCTTGATCTCTGACTTTCAAATAAATAAATAAATCTCCAAAAAAAAAAAAAAAAGTCGCAATGCCAGCACCTGCTTAGAGTCCAAAGCAGCCACTTACAACAGGTGGACATCTGCTGGCACCTGCCACTTACATTGTAAAGGTGGGAGACATTTAGGAAACAGTGTGCACAGATGGTCATATTTTCGTTCAACGTTTTTATGCACGGGCTGGAAGCGGATGTTAAATACAAACAGGAATGCCTGCAGTGGTTATCTCTGGGTGACATTTGTCCCGCTCTTTGTTGTGAAGTGGGAAGGCAGTTGAGACAGCAGCTATGGCCCCAGTTCTGGTGTGATATGCCGTGTGACCCAGAGCACACCCCGTCCCTTTCTGGGCTGCAGCCAGATGGCCTGTGGGGCTCGTGCGTGTCTGCAGCCCTGCGTTTTTGGCCCCACTTGGATCGGCACTCTGGGGAGCAGAGATGGCCAAGGACATGGGGGTGGGGGCACTGAGGCAGGTGGGGGAAGAGACGGGGAGAATGAGGAAGGTTTCTAGAAAAGTAGCACCTGAGCCAACCAGAACCACAAGAGAGGGAAAGGCACCCGATATGGCTCAGTAACACAGGTATGCTGGGCTTTCTAGGACTGCCTGCGATTCTAGCTGACAACAGGGCAGGAGGGGGCAGCTGTCAGTGCCAGGGTACTCTGGTGTCCTGTCCACCACTGATAAGAGCTGTCTACGGCCACAGCCGAGTCCCAGCCCTCGGCCCAGGGCCAGGAGGGAAACACAGAGGGCAGGAAGGTAAGGGTGCCTGGTGCAGCAGCTGCCCAGCCTCCTGGGAGAGGAGAGCCGCTCCCGGCAGTGGCAGCGGCGGCAAGCCTGAGTGCCTGTCTGTCATGTGCCCAGCCCTTTAGCACGTCTGTGTTGCAGCCCGCAGCCTCTCCGGCATCTGCGGGTCACGAACCTTCATGGGAATCTGACAACATTTCTCAGACACCAAAAAAAAAAAAAAATGCACATAAAAAAAAAGCATGTGGGTGCAGGAGAGGGACAAGCAGAGCCTAGGGGATGTTTTGGGCAGGGTCGCCACCAGGTGAGGATACTGGACAGGTGTCCCAACCCATTGGTGTGCAAGCCCAGCGTGAACCCAAACATGAACTCTGGGCACTGGGTGAACCAAAACCCGTGGATCCCACTGGTGGAGGGTAGGGCAGATGGCCAGGAGACAGCACACATGGAGGGCAGTGGCAGATGGGAAATCTGAATCTTTTTCTCCATTTGCCTGTAAACCTATAACTACTGTAAAAAAAAAAATAAACACCTAAAATATAGGCATATATATATATATATATATATATATACGTGCACATATGCTGGAAAATTTAATAGTGCCTGGGAGTTCAGACCCTGCTTCCCCACAAGACCACCCACGCACTGAATAAGCTAGATGGAGGGAGCCTACCAGTTCCACCTGCAGATTGGAACAAAGCGGATGGTAGGGTGTGGGGAAGGGCTTAGGAGCAGTTGGCGTGGGGAGTGGGGAGCAGTCCAGGTCAAAATGTAGGCTGCCACCTGCAGCTGGGTAAACTCAGACAAGCTATTTAAATGCTCGCTGCCTCAGTTTCCCCATCTGTAGAACAGGGACATTTTACATACTTCCCAAGGCTGGCCCACAACACTAGGAAATGGACAGCTGCTCTGCTTATTTCACTGCCAATGCCCTTGCTGTGTGGGTAACACCACCACCCAGCCAGCACTTGGAGCCCTGGTCTTGGCAGCCCGAAGAGCTGGTGGGGGTGCACACAGTTGCTTGATAGGGGTCTTGGGACTGCAGAGGCCCAGGTGGTGTCCTTACCAGCCTTCTTTGGAGGCCACAACCTTTCCTATTGGAAAGCAAAACACACGCCAGAGGGGCGAGTGAAGCAGCCCCTGGTCCCAGAAAAGGCTAGCTAGCCTGGGGTGAGTGAGAGCCACTGCTTTATTAACAAAGCACTGACCACCCAGCTTGCATGCAGGGAGGGCCCCAGTGCGGCTCCTCTGCACCCCCATCAGGGGCCCACCTCCAGCCCTTCAAGGCCCTGCTCACTGCCTACATTCCACAGCCTGTGTGGCTCAAGGGGCAGAGAACTAGGGAGTTGGGGGGAAGGCTTCTAATCCCTTTCAAGCCACTGAGTGCTCTGAGACAGCTGAAACTGAGGCCCCAGGGTCTCCCCACCACCACCCTGGGCCTTGCTGACACTGCCAGCTGCTACCCCTACACCACAGCCCTGCCCAGCTGGACACCGATAGATTGTGGTCAAGCATCAGGCCGCTACCATGAGGTTCCCACAGCCTGGAATGCCTGCCCCCTCTCATGGGACACTTACTCATCCTTGAAAATCCCAGCTCCAAAGTCATCACCTCTCTGATGTCATCCTTAGCCACCAGCCCTCTCCTGTCCAGGCCCAAGCCTCGGACTCCTGCTTCAGCCCCACTCCATAGAACCAAGGCAGAAAACAGAGCACAGATGTAGGCCTCTGGTTTACATGGCTTTTTTTTTTTTTAATTTGGGATCCATTATCAACTTTTAAAATAATGCTTTCAATGTATTGTTATTGATTTGAAAGGCCAAGAGTGACAGAGATATTCCACCTGCTATCTCACCCCCTAAGTGCCTGCAACAGCTCAGACCCAACCCAAGTTTGTAGCATCTAGCTGGAACCAGGAGCAGAGCCGAGATTCAAACCCAGGCCCTCTGATGTGGGATGCAGGCATCTCAAGAAGCAATGTAACTGCTTGTGCCAAATGGCCACTCCCTAGTGATCAGTATCTTAAAGTTTTTGTTTGTTTGTTTGTTTAAGACAGAGTTACAGAGAGATCTTTCCTCTGCTGTTTCACTCCCCCAAGTAGCCACAATGGCCAAGGCTGGGCTGGGCCAGGCTAAAGCTGGAGACTGGCACTTCTACTCAGTCTCCCATTTGGGTGGCAGAAGCCAAGCCCATCTTTAGGTGCTTTCTCAGGTGCGTTAGCAGAGAACTGGACAGGAAGTAGAACAATCAAGACTAAAGCAGGTGCTCACATGGGATGTTGGCAGTGCAGATGGTGGCTTAACATGCAGTGCCATGACACCAGCCTGCAGTATTTTTAAATCAGAAGATTGCATATGTAAGTCA